TTACAATCACTTCGCCGCACAATCCGCGCTAAGCTTTGAAGGCTCCTACCTACCACAAACCAAACAACACCACCAGTGCACCGCCGGTACCCACTTTAGCAAACGTTACCATTGCTGAACAAGAAGTCGTAAAAAGTACAAACTTCCGGGGTGCAAACAAACCTACGGGTCCCGAAGAAATACATGTCAAACTGCTCAAGCTTATTGCGATTCTCACCTCCAAGCCATTAGCACAGTTTTTTTTATAAATCACTGGGTCAGGAATATTTCCCAGCAAGTTTAAAGAAGCAGACATCAAATCAATACTTCAAACAAAGGTTCGCCATGAGACTCTTCCTGCCATCGACCAATAAGCATCCTTTCGGCACCCTTAAAGTTACCGTAATAATAGTATATAAAATATAACGATCACTCTACCGAGCATTCTCTTCCCTCAAACAAGTAAAGTGGGTATTGGCAGTCACAGCACTCAACAGCAGATATTTTACTTGACGCACAACGTACACAAATCGCTTGGCATAGGACGCAACTGTGCGGCAATATATCTCGACATTTCTAACTTCGACGAGATATGGCATAAAGGTCTGTTATACAAGTGCAAAAATGAGTTTGGAATCGCAGGACGACTTTTAGACAAGGTAAATCATGCTAACAAGACAGGCGACAGAGATTACGAATGCATAACACTTTTTAGGTTACTCAGACCATGAACGCAGGCTGCCCGCAAGGCTACGTGCTCGGACCTTGTCTAGCGTTCTCCTATCTCGACGGACTCTCAAATCGAGCAGAGAATGATATTATCTCCGTTGATGACACCTCTCTCTCTCTCTCTCTCTCTCTCTCTCTCTCTCTCTCTCTCTCTCTCTCTCTCTCTCTCTCTCTCTCTCTCTCTCTCTCTCTCTCTCTCTCTCTCTCTCTCTCTCTCTCTCTCTCTCTCTCTCTCTCTCTCTCTCTCTCTCTCTCTCTCTCTCTCTCTCTCTCTCTCTCGCTCTCTCTCTCTCGCTCTCTCTCTCTCGCTCTCTCTCTCTCGCTCTCTCTCTCTCTCGCTCTCTCTCTCTCTCGCTCTCTCTCTCTCGCTCTCTCTCTCTCGCTCTCTCTCTCTCTCGCGCTCTCTCTCTCTCTCGCTCTCTCTCTCTCTCGCTCTCTCTCTCTCGCTCTCTCTCTCTCTCGCTCTCTCTCTCTCGCTCTCTCTCTCTCTCGCTCTCTCTCTCTCTCTACGCTTCGCACACGACTGACTTTACAAAACATGCCACAAAATAAACAAAACCCTGGCCCTCTGTTTTCGACCAGCGCAGCACATACCAAGGTCCATTCTAGACAAAATCTTCAAAGTGTACATCAGGCCTCTTTTTTTACTATTGCGTCGCAATCTACGACGGACACATCCCAATAAAGGACGCGGTCAGACCCGAAACACTACAAAACAGAGCTGCGAGACTGGTGACTGGGGCACTCTTCAGAACGCCATCCGGTAAACTGCGAGCTGAGTTAGGATAGAATAGACTGACAACGAGGCGATACATACACCGACTGACTCTCTATCGCAAAATAAACGACTCGGGACAACGTGCACCGACCTGCACCACAGCAATCATGCCTAATACCCGCGATCAAGGCACAGAGATCTCAGAAACACAAGCACGCAGGACACTGCAGCTACCCATCGCACACCATCTTACCACAAATAATTTTCCCAACTAGCAAGAAATGGAATGAGCTACACGACACCACACGACAACTCATTCAGTCCCCCTTCAAAAAACAGGCTTGCGATGCGGCTGGGATTGCCTGATCCACCCCATTACCACACCGTCCGATCAATGAGAGGAAATATGCTGCATGCCAGACTCAGAATGGACATATCCCGCTTGAATGCCCATTCATTTCCTGTTAGAAATACAGCCTAGCGGACATGCTAGTGTAGACACTGACTTAACAACATTCTTTCATTTCGTCCTTTCGTGACTAAAGTATGAAGAACAACGAAATGGTTTGGTTTTGGCACCATCTTTCAAAAGCTACACGTCCATTTTAGACACAAGTTACCTTTATGTCAGCTACAAACTCTATCACATGGCGCATATCTCAGCGTCCGAACCGACAGCGTCGGTTCGGCGGTGGCCTTACCATTTCCAAAATGTTCTGCTCAAATCAAGACGATTTATCGACCTTAAGTGTTTTTAGTTGTTCCCCTCACCATACCATATGGACGTAGCACCACCGGTGAGGCGTGTGCTGGCTGACAACCCAGCCGAATTAAGCACCTGAGCGACCAGTACCGTGGCGGCAGTCACAGCTCAGCATTTCTTTTTGTGTGCTCCAGACAAGATGTTTCGATTTAGCTCTTGCTTTTGTGCCTTCCTAGTTTTCGTTCGCTTTCTATTGCATGTATTGTTTAAAAGTCATGATGTCAGATGATGATGATGATGTGATGATGTGATGATGGTGATGGTGATGATGATGACCCCCCGTACCAGAGGCATCTTAATCGGACAAAAGTGCACCAACTCTCCAAGACGCAAGGGAAGGGGGGTAATCTCCACTCGATGAGCCACTGAACCTTGTTGAACAAAAAGTTTTGATAGTAAGGAGCAGGGGGCAAGATGAATGGTTCTGTAAAAATAGCCACTTACCGGAAAATAAAATCTCAGTTCGTGAGAAGACATTGCAGAACATAAAACTTTCCAGTGCGAATGTAATATGCCTAACAAAGATTGTTGCCCGGTCAGCAGACTTGTGCTCGGATCCGGACGAAGTCGGGGTCAACTCCGGAATCAGCCGCATTTGCGGCGTGTCGAGGAATGACCACTTTCTTTGAAAATGACGTGAGTGTAATTGGAGTTCAGTCAGCGACATGGTCAGGAGTAATCGATGGCGTCGTGACTTCCTTTAATTGTTCGATGATCGAAAAATTATTACTCACCAATGTGTCCTGGTGTGCTGGAGGTCAATTCTTTCCGGTGTAATAGCTCGCATACCGAAAAATCAGAAGCTGTCTTGCTCACATGCATCTGGAAAATATAAGTACCACCAGACTTTATTAATCTGGCAGCTCTTGCGCGTGCCACAAATTTAACAACTGATGCATCGCTTTTGTTGTTGAATCATATATCCCCAAGCAGCCGTTTGAGTAATCCACAGAACACTATCTCCTAAACGTTGTAAGCTGAGCTGATTATATCGGAATTAATTCCTGAATCCATGTCTTTGTACCCGAGTCGGACTAAAAACTGTGCGGTGGTAGCCGGTCAGAATCGAAATCAACCAGCACGCATGCGACGTGAATCAGAGCAGGAATAGATGCATGCTGCTGCAGGAACAGCGGTGTGAGACTGCATCGAGAACAGGCCCCAGCGGTAGTGATGCCATCTATAGCGCTGTCGAGGTGGCCTTGACCAAGCAGCGTAAACTCACAGTACTAGGCTGCTGCTGTTACTCTAGCACTGGGCCAGGTGGTCGCTGGCTTTCAGCGCAGGTAGTACGCCCCACAAAACAGCGCGACAAACAAACGCCGCTGGTACGACTCCCTACCGCCTCTATATACAAACATCCGCCGTGGTCTACGCGACTTCGGCGGCCCCAGCTTCTGCTGGGCTTTGGTGTTTGTTTTTTTTCACATCCTGGCTTGGCCCTTAGTCTTCATTCCATAATGGCAAAACTGAACAGCAATACCTGACAAAACAAGCTCATTCATCAGTATCATCTTGCGAAAGAATCCATACACTGCCCATCGCTTGCGTTACTGTTTTCCGTTAATTGGTTTCGTTTGGTTCAACTTACCTTTACCGAGAGCACTGTGTTGAGCGCGGTGCCAAAGCCGCCGGAGCGCGCCTTAAGCCCAGTCATCTGTAACCTTCTCTCAAGCCCATCTCATCCTAACCTACCATCCGTCCATTACTGTCACCTCTCCTCTCTATTTGCTATCAAAGGTACAGTCTAGTTCATCATGCATAACAACTGGCACGAACATAGCACGTCCGTCGTCGTCGTCACTGGGGCTTTGCGACGCACTCAGCTGTTGACGCAGGGAATCGAACCTCGTACCTCTGGTTTCCCAGACGCGTAGTGGTCAACGTAAACGCGTTAACCACGACACTATGCACAGTGTAAGTGTTGGGGGCAAGTGTAGCTATCAATGCTTCGAGAGGCATTTGCATAGTTATCCTGAAGTTGATGACAAATTGCGAAACAACTATCGATGCCACTCCGTACTGAATTGCCGCCGTTACTTCCGCCACGCGCACCGGTCCTGTTACTGCCATCCTCTCACTGAGGCCATTGTACGTCTGTATGCTACTACAGTCGTTTTGATGTGACTGCGTTCATAGGAATCGTAATGAGAAAAATTAAAACTGACTAATGACATCTAAACTTGGTTATTTTGTGTCTCGATCCTGCGATGCCGGTAAATGCACAGATCCTGCTCAGGAGATAGTCGCGCAAATGGTCGACATTCAGATCTGTCATCCCTCCCTCCAAATGCACCCAGTTTCTTTCACAAGTTTAGTCACTGTTCATCGAAATCACATCGCGGGCACTCGAACGGTTTATGACATGTTCACATCCACCAGTTCGTACGTAATCACATGCGCCCGCGAAGAGTACGGTCTCGACGAATGACTCACAAATGTGAACACAATGACGATGCTTCATGATTTCCGCGGCGTGAATGTGACCATTCAGCACAGGACCAAACCATACCACGCACATCACATCACCACAGGAGTTATCATTCTCACGGCTTGTAGTTCACACTCGCCTCTATAATTGTGATGATGTACACAATCGTCGCTTGCCGTAGTGTCGTGGAACAGCACCAATGGACGTGACACCTTCTGGGAGGGGACCCGGCATTGCAATGACAAGCGGTTCGGCTCCAGCTGACTATCCTGTCGTCGCCATCGCCGCCCACAGGCCGGCTGGAACACCCCAACAGAACAGACCACACCACAGCACCAAGCACGATACACCACAGGTCGTTTCTCTTCGGCACCCTTCAGGCAACGCCACCCAGTCAACGGCTGCGCGGTCCTCCAGTGTCCGCACGTCTCGCAGGATTCGCCTGTCTCTGCCTGCTGCATGTTTGAAGGGTCCCACGCAAAACAGGGCCGCGGGCAGGCCGAGGCACCGCCGTCCATCCCACTCACAGGCGGCGGCCCACTTCACCCGGCGGTCCGAGCCCCCGCCACTTATAAACCAGGTGTCCATTACCGCCTAGGACCCACCCGAAGACGGCCGAGTCACGCCCTCGACTACTTCTTCTTGGCTATGCTACCGAAGGCGGGGATGGTCTTGGCCGGCGGAGGCAGGCCGGTGGCCAGACCGGCCGGCTTGATGATGGGCACGCTGGAGCCGTGCGGGGCGCCCACCTGGTCCCACTTGCTGCGCCGCTTGGGCTCGCCGTCTAGCTTCTTGGTGCCCGTCACCACCTCCACCTGGCGGCCGCAAGGAGGAGAGGGAAGGAATGTCACGAACAGCACGGAGCCCACCGTCGTCGCTGTGCTGAGTGCATCAGAAATGCATGGACGTTGTGGCAAGACAGGCGGAGGAGAGCCGTCCGTTAGTAACGCCACGGCTACCGACGCAAGGGATGCAAGGGATACAATTTTTCAGCCTCAGCGAACCGGCCGGGCCCAGCGCAGCCAGCGTTCCTGCAGGCACTGCAAGCCGTTCCAAACGGTTTACAGCAAGAATCGCAGCTCTTTAAATGTCTTGCTTCAGGCATTTGCATATCAACTATTAAATTGGGAGCGATTCTACAGTGACATTGTAATTACAAACCATACAAATTTTGCCTTCTTTAATCGATTAACGAGGAACAGTAAACTTCGCAATTGTGACATAGCCGCGCAACGCATACCGAAAACACGACCGGATTTAGATAGCCAAGCGTCGCAGCCACCAGATAAAAACATATTTTGGCGGAGGCAGGAATGGACAAATGCATTACATATAAACGGCACGTGACTGATCGGGCATGTAGGGCTCTGTCGTGCGAATCAGGACACAGGACACGGCACTCCCACGTTTGAGCGATTCCAGCAGATGGCTTGTCCATCCACGGCCTACCGACTGTGCCCGTCTACACGCTGTCAGGCCACGCCCATTATCGGCTGCAGTAGAGCAAGGAGGAGTCGAGTCCAGACTGAGCAGCTCGCCGGAGCCCCGGACGCGAACTCGCTGGGACGACCCATCCCGTCCTGGGCTCGCCGCGAGCCGCGCTGACCGACGCAGTCACCTTGGTGCGCTCCTTCCTCTCCTTCTCCCGTCTCTCCATGTCCTCCTTTTGTACTCTGGCCAGGTCGTCGTAGTACGACTGCTTGCCCCAGATCGACGGGTCGTACAGCTCCTGCCGTCGGAAAATGGGTGAGCAGAGGTGGGTGTCCAGGAAGCACGTGCCTTACCCAGGGCACGCCGAAGAAAACGAGTGAGTGACGTGGCAGCCCATGACAAAGTCAATAACCATCAATGGCTTCTATCACGAATACCAACACCACGCGGTGCGCAACACCCAAATGCAATGGCAACCTTTCAACCATCACACGACACTCTACGTACACATCGGGCCGACGCCCGGCCAACCAGTAACCAGCACAGCGCCGCCAAGACACAGCATCCCACCATACCGGCGGGTAGTTGGTGCCGAACTCGTCGATGTCGCAGAAGGTGATGAGCTTCTCGTAGATGGAGGGGTTGCGGAAGTCCTTGTGGGAGCGCAGCCGGTCGTTCATGTCGGCTCCGGTCCGCTCGCGCTCCTGGCACAGCTTGGCCACCATCTCCTGCCGACACGGAGACGGCGCGTCAAACGGGTGGCAGACGCGGGCCGGCAGGCGGAGAGCTGCTCCAGCCGGCTGGGCGCGCCAGCTGCACGCTCGTATAACATTGGTGGCACCATTGGCAGCTTGATCATGCGCCGCTCCCGCAGTTTTACTGCAAGCAGGGAGCACCCGATGAGTGAAAGCCCCTGCGCGTTGCTTCACGACGATCAACCACCAGACATTTACACTCGTCATGCGACCAACAAGCCCACTTCCAGAGGCATGTTGACGACCAGAACGAGCGGATAAATGTCCGCAAATGTACGAAGGCTGCATGCTTGCGTTTGGGAACAAGCCACTACACAAAACCTACACAGGGGATGGTTGGGACATCAACACCAGCTGCAACCCACAGCACTCATGGTGGCCCAACCGACGCCGCCCCCTGACCTGCACAGCCCTAAGGATGCCATCCTCCACTGACCTGCATATGTTTGAAGCACCTGTTGGCCCCAAGGACATCACCCTCCACCGACCTGCAGGTCTTTGGAGCACCTGCCGGTCCCAAGGACGTCACCCTCCACTGACCTGCAGGTCTTTGGAGCACCTGCTGGTCCCAAGGACGTCACCCTCCACTGACCTGCAGGTCTTTGGAGCACCTGCACGGCCCCAAGGATGCCACCCTACACTGACCTGCAGGTCTTTGGAGCACCTGCCAGCTGGCTCAGAGGGGATGAGGTCTTCGCTGGCGGCGGCGGCACCGGCAGCCCCGTCTCGCTCGCCCTCCTGCTCGCCGCCCTCGTCGTCCGAGCGCGAGATGTCCATGTCGTCGCTGCCCGCCTCCAGCTCGTCGTCCAGGTCCAGGTCATCTTCCGGGTCTCCGACGTAGGAGACCAGCCGGGCCGGACGGTCTGCCAGCGAGGAGGGTGTGGCATGACCAGAGTTGGCTGATCCAAAACCTGTTTTTAGATAACTGGGTATGTAGAAAGTTGTGGCCTGCACTAATGATTTATTTGGCACCTTGCTTTTGGTCCTGGAATATTAATCTTTACCCTATATCATTATGGAGTTTTAAATGCTGCCTGAATGCATGACTTGTAGCACAAAATGGTGCCTCATTGAGGACACACAAACATCTCCAAAGAAATAAGAACTGAAAGGTCTTAAAAATGGCATGTGTCTTACCGACACAACACACATACAAACACACACATACACACATATATCCCCAATCAGTGGCAACACTGTGTGTGTGTGTCATTGGGGCTTTATGACACTCAGCTGCTGAGGTTATATGGCATCACCTGCCTCTTACCCTGGCAGGAAGGGCGGGCACTGCAGGGAATCAAACCCCGCACCTCTGGTTTCCCAGATGTGCAGTGGTCAACACAGACACGTTAACCGCTACACTACTGGCACCCATCAGTGGCAGCACTAGTGATGATGTTATGTAAGACAAATGCATGATCAATAAGGTAATCAATGGGCATGGCCACCCACAAAACACATACATTCACAACTCAACTTGAGTGCTTAATATATAAAGCATCCCAGTCTTAGTTCCAAAACATTTTTGTAGCACAAGCTCATATGCCATGATTCATATCTCACAAGCCATTTATAATATGCATCACAAACATTTGCAGGAGCCTAAATCAGTTTAAGCTACACTTGAGTTGTGGCTACACATTGTACATACATATAAAACTTACAGAACTTTAATATTTTTGCATTTGAAAATGACAGCCAGGTGGGCTTACTACACTTATATGATACTTGGCCAAAGCCAATAAACACATTTGACTTTTTTACAAAGCAAATGGATTGACGGCAACACATTCCAGAAATTCACATTTGACTCTTGTACAAAGCAAATAGATTGACAGCAACACATTCCAAAAGTTTTACAATTCACCACAAATGTTTTGCGTGCCACCTAACAAGCAAAGCATTTGTTTTGCTTGCATCAATATGCTGCAACCATCACATTTTCCCAAACATGTTGAGTGCTTTGAATCCTCTTTTAACAACAAGACTCATGCTCAAGCTCAAGCCAAGCAAACATATTGAACTTTTGAACACCACAAATGAATTGAGTTATGGATTTAAGAAATTTTGTGATTAACCATAATTGTTCTGCCTGCCATCAGACATACCAATATGTTACAATCATCACATGATTTATTGAACATGGTAAGTGCTCTGAATCATCTTCTTACAATATAAGACTCATGCTCATACTCAATTCAAATCAACATACTTAAATACTGTGCACAGCAAATGACTGACAATGAATTGCATAAATTTTGCAATTCATTACAAAAGCTTTGCTTGGCATCAACCCATTTGAATACGCTGCAACCATCACATTTTTTCTTGAGTATGTTAGTGCTCTGAATCATCTACCAACTCAAGTGGGTCACACATATTGCTTGCCTGTCCCAAGGTCAGCCTGCAAAAAATCCATCCGCTATGAGCCAGTAACATACTGTACACATGGTGTAGGCATGCTGAGCCTGGTGCACACACACTTTACTAAGGGCAAGCCAATGTCTATTGAATTTCTACAACTTTTTGTTTCAACTCATGTTTTCAACATTTCAACATGTTTTCAGCATACACTTGCTTGCCATTTCCTTAATGGCAAAATAAATCCACAAGACAGAAGTTCTCTATATGAAACATTTGGTGGTGAACAATATGACCCTTGACAGGCTCTCTTTTACTTTATGGCCTGCAAACCATGAAGCTGTTGCTGGGACATCATTGATACACTGGACACAGCAGAATCTGGAGCAGCGCATTGTCTGCAGTCCGACCTCAAGCCTACTTGCGGTCCACTATGGCCAAGCACATCAAAGTTGTTAGAAAATTAGGGAAGAATAAAAAGGATGTTCAGGAAGAAAAGGTCTGCGCAAATTCAGTCAGCCTTTGCAGTAATGACTCACCAAAGTTTGAGTTGCTGTTTTCTTCAATTTGCTGAACCTCTTCCTCTTTTGGTTCTTCACGTGAAACACGTGTTGGTCGATCATGTGAATCATCTTCTCCTTCAGAATCAGTATATTGCGCACTCAGACTATTCAATGCGGACATTTTGGAGCTACAGAAATGGATCAGTCCAATACGTTCAACTCAAACTAACACACACACCAGTTTCTCCTGTGGCTTCTCAATTTCTAGCTGCGCTGGTCCTCAGGCCGCTTGCAATTGCGCGCATCAGGTGCTTCTTAGATCCTAAATCCCCTCCAATATGACACCGGATCTTCTTACAATAATATGTAAGACAAAAAACTGAGAATGTACACGGTTAACCTCACACCGTCTTTGTGCTCATACACGGTGCTACTTTTATATTACCCCAACGCTTTGCCTGCGACTGGGACAACAACGCAAACACCAACACACGGAGCCGCTTGAAGTACCCTTCGCTGTACTGCAAAATTGTTCAGGGTCGGACAAAATGATTGGTCCCTGTTAACTGGCCACCAAAAATGACTTAAATGACCAAAATAGAAAATTTTGACGAAATTGGACAATTCATAACCAAAATGAGTATTTCACCCTGATTGGACTGTTGCCACCAATATGGACGCTTTCTCCGTCAACTTAACAAAATTGGTAACGGTAATGCCTGCGTAAGTCATTAAATGCACGAAAGAAATGTCTAGAAAGAGACGTCCTCCATCAGATTAGCAAAGGCCACCCCAAATAGGTGAAACAAATGACCAAGATATGTGGGGAAATCAAGAGTTTGTACCAGAATCTTGAATATTTTGCTAACAAGCAAAAACCACCATGTTCTTAAGCAAACTGACATCAACTTTGGAACTTTTTGGGACACAGACGCCATCATCCGCACTGAAGTTGCGCTCTTGGGCGAGTCGCTGATTAGCATTGAGTTCCTGACATACCTAAGCATCCGGGGGCGCAGACAGCTGGATGGAGGGGAGGCATCCTCGCGTAAAGCCTTGCATGGCCCTCAGGAACATCGGCACAGATTGTCAAGGTCCCCCTTTAAGTGCTCGAATTGTTGAACGGAGGACGATCCCGGGGCAAAGGCTTGGCCTCCAAAAGGTCAGATCAAGGGAGTCGTTGCGCCTGTCGCGGGTCCCCGGGACGATGAAGGTGTCTATGTGGTCCGAGACCATCAATGCTGTTCAGTTGGTTGTGAGTCAGCTTGGACCCTAGGAGCCCATTTACAAAGCAGGGATAAGGCCGGCATCTACCATTGTTACTGAAGGCCTCTGTATCAAAGCACAGAGTGTTTAACAGTGGAGCGTGTCGGCAAGGGGTTCCTAGTCGCCCAAAGGCACATTTTGCTGAAGAGGAAAAGGACGGGACCCTGAATGTCAAATAGCCACTTGCGTTGGTCAAGGTACTCTTGCCTGACATGGGATGAAAGTGCAAGAAATGGCAACGTAATGGTCCACAATGAGGCAATAGAGGAGCCCTTGGCACGGGCCCGTTTGAGCCGGAGGCCCAATAACCCTAACCGTGGTTCATACTCCGGTTCATATAGGTGCTCTGGTGGTATGTTTTATTTCTGCCATAATTGTCTTTAAAACCTTTCTGAACTGATGATTTTGAGATCAGAGCTCACGCAAAGGCAAGATTGCTGAGTGTGCTCTAGAACTTATCTCCTTCCTATACGTTACGACCGAACTTTTCGAAGAAATGCATTTTCTGTAATGCTTGGCACAGCCCACGGCTTTTTTGATCTCCCTAGCATTAGCAGCCGCTGTCACCGACCGCAAACCATCCAAACCAGAAGTCAAATGGTGAGCGCACGTAGACGCAGCTAAGATAGAGAACGTAGAGGCTCACCTCCACCTCACAACAACCCCTACACACCTGGCTTTGAGTTCTCGCTGGGATACCCCGCTCCCGTGTTGATTTTCCTGGATGTGCCCCTGCAAGCGCGTACATAGCAACTTGAAACCCCATGACGCCACCAGTGGGTTGGGATCGCCAGGAGCTGAAACCAAGTAAGTTGTGGAGGGCGACGAGCGAGTACTTTTGGTTGCAATTTAATTCATTTTGGTGATCGTTCGTGTCTTTCCACCTGTAACCGAAGGTTTTAGCTCTGATGTCTGGCTGGTCTACTATACAAGATTTTAGCTGGCACCATTGGTGATCACTCAGTCTTTTGGAGATAAACTGGCTATTCCCACTCGTTGACGCGGTTGGTGATCATTATGTGTTTTGATAACGAAAGTTACTATTCTGGTAATCCAATTAATTTTTGTCCTCAAAATACAAAGTCTTGGCGGAGCATGTCTGTTTTGCTGCACGGATTATCGACAAACCTAATCTTTCAATTAACGGATGTGAGTACGATAAAGCTTTCAGAGACCATGACCACATTTCAAAACATTTATTATCGTTAGATTTCAGCACCAAGCATATTTTGGAATATCAAAGGCAAGAACATGGCATTGATGATGATTCAAGAAACAGAACTCATGATGTGAGGGAGAAAATACAACATGTTATCGAATTTACCAGATTCGAGACTTCCAGCCAAGTGCAATTTATCGAGTGTTTTCTTAGAAAGGTTCCAGGACGAGAATGCGGCAGTAAATAAAAGGTGACCTCTTTAATCCAAGCTCCACGGAATGACGCTTGTGCGACAATCTCAGTGCTTAGAAAACAAATAAGACGGGTGGGATTGGTGGGACAGCCCCGGTGGCACGGTCGTAATGCGCGTGGATGTGTGACGGGATCCGTCCACGCGCAGTATGTAAGTACGATTGAGCTGGCTGCTGCAGGTTTCTTTCAAGGTCTTGGAACGTGAGACTCACAGAAAAACAAGTTCGACCCAATTGGTCGGTTTGCTTGTCGCGAATCCTTGCGTGTGAAATATGCTACCACTTTTGCCGCAATTGCCACAAGATTTCCCCGGCCACCTTTGCGTTCATGCGATACGGGAAAGGGTTGTGTTCTCATAGCTTATGCGTCAATAAAATATTGATGTATAAATCCTCTGTTGTATCATTTAGGTGCACTGTACTAGGATGGCATAATTATATTTTGAAGGTGACTGGGTTGTGCTATTTTTTAATATACTGAGACATGTGTGCTTTTGCCTGCTAGTATTACCAAGTAGCTCAGGCTGTCTTGCTTTTTTATCACACCCAGGCTTTTCTTGCTGCACCATTCTTTACATCAATCAAACACAATTTGCCTGCTTGTGTTAAGGAAGCACTCAAATTTGCCTTTTAGCTGGAACACTCCTCATTGCAATTTGAGCCTTCATTGTTGCAAAAGTTATTTTGAATTGCATCAAAATGTGATAGACGTGAGTAAGCTATTGCCATAATCCATTGATGATCCATTACCAAGGCTATTTTGTGTCTTAAAGGGAAAGAAAATGAATTTTATAAACAGCAGTGATTCTCTCAACAGGTTATAGAGCCTCACTCAGGCTGCCACAAGCTGGGCATTGTGCATTTTCATCAACTCTGATATTACTCCACAGGATGTGATGTGTCACATTTTGTGAGGTCTTGAGATGTCAATGTCAAGACTTGACATGATATATCAAGGCCTCACATATTATGAAGCATTGGACTAGTTGTAATGACAAAAGTGTACAACTAGCAACAATGGCTAGTTGTGATGACAAAAGTGTGCACCATAAGTCATAGGCACAGGCATTTGTATGTTCTCATACAGACAGAACAGCTCTACCTGTTTGGGGGCATTTCAAAGATTGGTGCTAGATCTCAGCACCTGTAAGAGATGAAGATGTGACAACAATGATATGGTGCAGACATTTGATTCAACTACAGCTCACAAACATACCAGAAGGCTGTAGAGCATAATTTTGCACTAGTTTTTTTACAGAAAGTGGTCAATACTGCCTTTTCTGAAACCGTTTGAAGATACAATATATTGTGATTCACACCCTAGAGAGACTAGGCCATCTAAAATACAAGGACATTTGTCAACATTTAGTTTAGGTATGTTAAGACACTTATCTGTTGTGGGTATGTCAATGTTGCATAGGCATGTTTTCTGGCAAAAAGTATGTTTTTTTATGTTTTTGTCACTTTTTTGTCACAGTCAAGTGGACAAGTTGTATCAGTCTAAAGATTCATTTATAGCTAAATTTATGCAGGTCAGATGATAAAATTAGTTCTGAGGATGTATACAGAACCTGAGGCAGGCCAACCTCGATGGGCCTGTGTGGCTCTTTGCTGACCATATGTTCTTATGTCTTTATGTTTAAACCAAAAGAGTGACCTTTTGTGTATTATTTGTACACCTAGCATAATTTATATCATTGTGTATTGTGAAGGCAGTTGGCAGTTGAAGGTCCTTTCACATGGATTGGTCTGTTGAAGTCACAGTTTGACCACAATCTGGTCATAGCACTGAACCTGATTTGTTGTCTGTGCTGCACCTCTGACACGCATGTGAAGCCCTCATAATTGACTGTATTGGCCTCTTGACAAGAAAATACAGAGAAAGTCAGCCCTGGTAATTTGCGATTGCATTTATTCATGGATTACATTACTTTGGAAGATGGCACCAATATATATATATATATATATATATATATATATATATATATATATATATATATATATATACACACACATACACACATGGCAAAAATACTGACAAGCTCAAGTGTTTGGTCTCAAATGAAGACAGTGCTGCCTCACACACTATGTTATATTGTAGCACATTGAGTATTGCCTGCGCTTCTGGCTCTGAAGAGCTCTGGGGCCGTAGTTACACCTCTTATCAGGCAGTGTCTCGCCCAAGTCGCACCTGCCCCACAATGCAAGGCATCTAACAGTCACTTGCCATGCTCTGCTGGGGTCCTGGCAGAAGTTGTACCTCCTTTGCACCAGAGAGGTTTTGGCAGCAGTCAGCAATGGTCCTTGCAGTAGTTTTACCTCCCTTGTGGTGTAGAGTTTTTGGCGGTAGTCACACCTGTCTTGCTGTGGAGGGTTTCGCACGTACCTCGCCGTGGAGATTTTACGCAGGCCTCGCTGTGCAGGATTCACACTTGCCTCGCTGCGCACACTTCACACCTGCCTCGCTGTGCAGGGCTTCACCTGCCTCACTGTGCAGGAGTCAGCACCTTCCTTACTGTGCACGGTTTGCGCCTGCCTCGCCGTGCAAGTTCGCACAAGCCTCGCTGCGCACGCTTCATACCTGCCTCGCTGTGCAGGGCTTCACCTACCTCACTGTGCAGGAGTCAGCACCTTCCTTACTGTGCACGGTTTGCGCCTGCCTCGCCGTGCAAAGTTCGCACAAGCCTCGCTGCGCACGCTTCACACCTGCCTTGCTGTGCAGGGCTTCACCTTCCTCACTGTTCAGGAGTTAACACCCTCCTCACTGTGCACGGTTTACGCCTGCCTCGCTGTGCAAAGTTCACACAAGCCTCGCTGCGCACGCTTCACACGTGCCTCGCTGTGCAGGGGTTCTGACGATAGGACAGTCGGAAGCCACGGCCCACTCGCCGCTCATTGGTGACGAACCTGGCGACGAACGGCCCGGCCGAGCGATCTGTGGACAGGGCGAGCGGTTAGTCGGCGCCCTCTCACACGTGCCACGCGCAGCTGAACCGTGTAGGCGTGTAGTCAAGCTGCGTAATGGAAAGCCGGAACAACTGCCGCGCCGTACGGGGAGAAATCGAAACGTACTCGGACGAGGTCGCCCGCTGAGCGAGCGGGCCCGGTTTCTTCCGGACCCGAAACCGTATCCGCCAAGGTGTGCATAGTTGGCGCAGCTGCGCCGTTCCATAAAACGGGGGTCAGGTCGTCTTGTTCTTCGTAGTCGCGGATGATGCGTCTGATTAGTTCCCATGGTGCTGATGTCGCCATCATCAGCCCATTATTCGCAGCGTGGGCGTGCGAACAATAACCCGCTGGTAACGACGCTGGCTTGCCTTTCACGCGATGTCGACCCACTGGTGACGTGACACCGACCCACTGGCGACGAGACACCGTCCCACTGGTGGCGTGACACTGACTCGCTTGTAACGTGACAGACCCATTGACAACACTGCCACGTCGCCAGGGCGAGTTTGCACCATGTCTGCGGTGTCAACACGCCGCGCACCCTCGGGCGCCGCGGCGCGCGCTCTGACCGGTGACGTCAGCGTTGTCGGTGAGGGCGCTGGTCATGGCCGCGTCGTTAAGCCTCTCGCCGCAGAGTCGGTCGGCGCCGAGCAGCAGGTAGTCGTCGGTGCAGAGGGCGGGCCCGACGCCGGCCTGGCCGGCCGGCACGGTCGGCTCGCCGGCCCCGACTGCGGTCACACGTCCGAACGGGTCACGCCCAGGTCACGCCGACGGTCGGCCGGCCGGCCGGCCCGCGCCGCCAGTACACAGCGAGGCGGCGACGGGACGGACGGGCGCCGTGCTGCGACTCCGCCGCCTGATTCCGCCCCCCCCCCCCCCCCTCCCAGTCAGAGCCGCTGGCATGGGATGAACGGCTGTCGGGTGATACCTGCAGCTTGACGCCGACGCAGCTCACACGGGTGTCACATCCGTGGGTAGTGAGCCCATGGGGTCGCCCGGACATTGATCGATACGTGCCGTTTTTACATCACTGTTGGGGACGTTCGCGTTTGAATCAGTATTTCTGAGCGCGCTGCCTGGGACTGCCTGGGTGCTATATAGCCCAGGCAGTCCCGTCCGCCCGGTATTCCCCCAAATCAAGACCTGTTTAGTGATGTCATACTGGTGACGTGTCGCGAGCAGTAGTTTCGCACGCAGCGTCCGTCAAGGCTCACAGTTGGAGAAAGTTTTGGGTCGGTCTCAGTCACCCAGACTGTCGACGAGCATAGTGCCGCGAAAGTCCTATTCTGCGATGGCGGGTCATAGCTGGTGTCCAATGGCATGAGTCACAGCGTCTGCCGGACGGACCAGTCACCTGTGCTGTTGTCGGGCTTGAAGTTGACGATCTCGAACTCGTCCGCCTCGGCCATGGTGCCGAACTTGTCGGTCGAGTAGGTGATGCTGCAGAAGTCCACCTCCTTACGGATGCACATCGCGTAGTTCAGGTTGTTCTGGAGGGGCGATCGCCGATCAGTTTAACGACAGGTGCCGGCTGCATGTTGTGTAGCGCTTCTGATTTCCGATGTAAGTGTATTAAATTGCACTGTTAGATCCTGTCTCGTCATCCTAGTCTCGCGGGGAGTCACTCCACTCGTGCCGTGGGAGCCGCTCCCTCACCCGGCACCGTCACATCTCGCTCTCTCGCGCAGCCCGAGCCCACGGCCGCTCACCAGATAGCCGGCGCCGGCGTCGCGCTCCATGTAGTTGATGCTGGCGATTTGCCCGGTGCGGCCGGTGTGGTACTGGAGGCAGTGCGGCGGCGCGGCGCCCGGCTGCCCCGGCCGCCACTGGCTCACCCGCACCCGCCAGCGGTGCGGCGCCAGCGACGACGTGACCACGCGCAGCTGCACCGGGCCCTGCCGCTCGCCCACCTCCAGGATCACTGGGGGCGTATCAGTGGGGACAGTCAGGGCAGGTCACAGCTCTGGGGTCAGTGTGGTCGGGGCGGCGGTCAGGGCAGGTCACAGCTCCGGGGTCACTGACCGGGGCGGCGGTCAGGGCAGGTCACAGCTCCGGGGTCAGTGTGGCCGGGGCGGCGGTCAGGGCAGGTCACAGCCCCGGGGTCACTGACTGGGGCGGTGGTCAGGGAAGGTCACTCACGTGTCGTATGAGTGACTCATACGCGGTCCACATTTCGGGGCTAACACCCTTAACATTCGGATGCAGCGTAGCGCGGTTATCGCCGATCACAGCCGCATTATCACCCCTCGTGCCGCATGCCGGCGCCGCTCGTCCCGGCCGGTACCGGCCGCGCCGGGCGTCAGTGTGTCGGGCACCGGCGGCGGACGGGTGTACTCACGATGCTGCCCGCTGTTCTGTCCGCAGATGGTCGGCACCAGGCTGTTGCCGTCCTGCCCGCTCACACTGAACAGGTCCCGGGTGCAGGCGCCGTCCGACTGGCCTGCCATCTGCCGGCACGATTGCTAACTGCAACGGCAGGTGGGTGCCAGCCGAGCGCTACGGTCGGGCTACGAAGGACCGGAATTAACGCCAGGAGTTTATTGTCTTTAGAGGTACTGAAAGTGCAGAGAACTGTTAACATCATGCGGGTGGAATGAGTCACGCACCGTTCGTTGTTCTTACTCATTCTAAGAAACACCTGCAGTTCTCTTGTTTTCTGACTTAAATTCGTTCAGCCTGCCGGTAAATGAGTGGCTCTTCAGATGAAGTGTGAATGACGCCCCCCCCCCCCCCCTCCCCACCCTCCTGTCCTGCCCCTCTGCTGCCAGCCGGCCTGACGTGTGGTGTCCGGCCGCCGCCAGGATGGGCTCGGAGCGGCCGGCCGTGCTGCGGCAGCGCTCCTCGGAGCGCGGCGACGCCGGCCTGGCTCTCGAGCACACCATCTGCCTGCTGGAGCGCGGCACGGCCGTCACGCGCTTCTGCCTGCGCCGGCGACCCGAGCGCAAGTCGCTGGCCGTGCGCCGCGAGACGGGCCAGCTGATCTGCCTGAAGGCCAGCGTGCCGGAGCGCGGCCGCGGCGACGACAGCGAGATGCTGCTCGACCTGCGGACGGTGCGGCAGGTGCGACGCGGCCGCGGCTCGCGCGAGTTCGAGCGCTGGCCGGAGGAGGCGCGCCGCTGCGACCCGGCCAAGTGCTTCGTGGTCAGCTACGGCACCCAGTTCTGTCTGAAGACGCTGTCGGTGGCGTGCCTGTCGGAGCGCGAGTGCGACACGTGGCTGCGCGGGCTCGGCGCGCTCGTCGTCGAGGCGCAGGAGACGCCGTACCCGTCGCAGGTGATCCGGTGGCTGTTCAAGGAGTTCTACGGCATGGGCGGCGCCGTCACGCTCAAGGACCTGAAGGCGTTCTTGCCGCGCGTCAACTGCAAGCTGTCGACGGCACGGCTGAAGGAGCTCTTCCAGGAGGCGGACGAGGCGAAGAAGGGCCGCATCATGTTCGACGACTTCCTGCGGCTGTACTACCGCACTGTGTGGGACCCGCAGGTGCTGGTGGGTGACCTGCAGCGGCTGGTGCGGCCCGGCGAGCCCGTCTCCGTCGCCATCTTCTGCCGTTTCCTGCAGGACGAGCAGCACGACCGGCTGGGCGCCGACGAGGCGGCCGCCGGCCAGTTTCTGCGCGACTACCTACGCGACCCGCAGCGCGACGTGCAGGAGCCGTTCCTCAGCGCCGACGAGTTCGTCGGCTACCTGTTCAGCCGGCAGAACGAGCTGTGGGACGCGCGCCACTCGTCGGTCACGCAGGACATGACGCGGCCGCTGGCGCACTACTGGATCGCCTCCTCGCACAACACGTACCTGACGGGCGACCAGTTTTCGTCTGAGTCGTCGGTGGAGGCGTACGCGCGCTGTCTGCGCCAGGGGTGCCGCTGCATTGAGCTCGACTGCTGGGACGGCCCGGACGCCACGCCGCTCATCTTCCACGGTCACACGCTCACCTCCAAGATCAAGCTGGTGGACGTGGTGCGCTGCATCCGCGACAACGCCTTCGTCACGTCCGAGTTCCCTGTCATCCTGTCGATCGAGGACCACTGCAGCCTGCCGCAGCAGCGCAAGATGGCGGCCGCCTTCCACGAGGTGTTCGGCGACATGCTGCTTGACGGCGCCCGTCGACCGAGGCCGAGAGCGAGCTGCCGTCGCCGCAGGCGCTGCGTCGCAAGATCCTCATCAAGCACAAGAAGCTGCCCGAGGGCTCGGACGAGGTGGTCGTCACTAGTCAGGACGACGGCTTCGACGGGCTCGATCTGAGCGACAGCCTCAAGAACGGTATCCTCTACCTGGAAGACCAGGTGTACGGCGACTGGACGCCGCACTTCTTCGTGCTGGCCAACCAGCGTCTGTACTTCACAGAGGAGCACTCTGCCGAGCCGGCCGACGACGACGGTGATCGAGGCCGAGCCGCTGCCGCCAAAGGCGAACGTGCCCAACGACGAGCTGCACTTCGGCGAGAAGTGGTTCCACGGGCGGCTACAGGGCGGCCGGCAGCGCGCCGAGCAGCTGCTGCGCGAGTATTCGTACCTCGGCAACGGCACGTTTCTGGTGCGCGAGAGCGAGACGTTTGTTGGCGACTACTCGCTGTCGTTCTGGCGCAACGGCAAGGTGAACCACTGCCGCATCCGCACCCGGCCTGAGTGGGGCCAGAACAAGGTGTACCTCATCGACACAGTAACGTTCGACTGCCTGTTCAACCTCATCAACCACTACCGCGCCAACCCGCTGCGCACGCAGGACTTCAACATGCTGCTGTCGGAGCCGGTGCCGCAGCCCAATCAGCACGAGGGCAAGGACTGGTACCACGCGGACTGCTCCCGCGACCGTGCCGAGGAGATGCTGCGTCGCGTGCCGCAGGAGGGCGCCTTCCTGGTGCGGCCGAGCCAGCGCGACGCGGCCGCGCTCTCGCTGTCGTTCCGCGCCGATCGGCGTATCAAGCACTGCCGTGTGCGCCGCGACGGCCGCCTCTACGTCATCGGTACCGTGCAGTTCGAGAGTCTGGTCGAGCTGGTCGCCTACTACGAGAAGCACCCGCTGTACAAGAAGGTGCGGCTGCGCTACCCGGTGACGGAGGAGCTGGTGGCGCGCGCCGCGCCCGAGAAGGGCGGCGCGCCGGCTGACGGCCACGCCTCCGGCACCTACATGGACCCGGCGTCGTTCGCCGCCAAGGTGACGGTGCGCGCGCTGCACGACTACCGGGCGCAGCGGGACGACGAGCTCACGTTCTGCAAGCACGCCGTAATCACCAACGTGAGCAAGGAGAACGACGGCTGGTGGCGCGGCGATTACGGAGGCCGCCGCCAGCTCTGGTTCCCCAGCAACTACGTGGAGGAGGCGGAGGCGTCGGACGAGGCCGACCCGTCCGTGCTCGGCTCGCTGCAGCAGGGCTCGGTGGCGCTGCTGCGCGCGCAGGTCGAGCTGCTGCCGGCGCCGCCCGCCGCCGACGGCGCGCCGCAGCTGGAGTGTGTGCTGCGCGTGCTGCCGGCCACGTCGCTGACGCCGGTCGACCTGGGCTGCGCCAGCTGGACCGAGGGGCGCGACTGGGAGCAGCGCGTGCGCCAGGTGGCCGAGAGCGGCCAGGATGCGGGCGGCGCGCGCCGTGACATGGAGCGCATCAAGCGCATCGCCAAAGAGCTGTCGGCGCTGATCGTGTACTGCCGTACCGAGACCTTCCAGCCGGAAAAGTTGCGCGACGGCCGCGTCTTCCAGGAGATGTCCAGCTTCCCCGAGACCAAGGTGGAGAAGTGGGTGCAGCCGGCGCAGGTCAAGTTCTTCCTGTGGTACAACCGGCTGCAGCTCAGCCGCGTCTATCCCAAGGGCCAGCGCATCGACTCCTCCAACTACAACCCGGTGCCGATGTGGAACGCCGGTTCGCAGATGGTGGCGCTCAACTACCAGACGCCGGACCGACCGATGCAGCTGAACCAGGCGCGCTTCATGCAGAACGGCGGCTGCGGCTACGTGCTGCGTCCAGCCTTCATGCAGGGCGACGAGTTCGATCCGTTCGACAAATCGACGCTGCCGTTTCCGCCCACCGTCTACACGCTGCGGATCGTGGCCGGCCGGCACCTGATGAAGCAGGGTCGTGGCCTGGTCAGCCCGTTCGTCGAGGTCGAGGTGGTCGGTGCCGAGTACGACAATTTCAACAAGTACACCACGCGCGTGGTGCCCGACAACGGCCTGGCGCCCGTCTGGAACGAGACGTGTCAGTTCACCGTCCACTGTCCGGCACTGGCGCTGTTGCGCTTCGCCGTGCACGACGAGGACATGTTCGGTGACCCCAACTTCCTCGGCCAGGCCACGTACCCGCTGCCTTGCGTGCGACCGGGCTTTCGCAGCGTGCCGCTGCGCAACGGCTTCGGCGAGCTGCTGGAGCTGGCCTCGCTGCTGGTGCGACTGGACGTGCGGCCGGCGGAGCCAGCGCCGCCGTCCGTCAACCAGGCGCTGGAGGGGCTCGTGCTGCCCGCGCCCGACGGCGGCTCCGTCATCGCGCCGCTGCGCTCCCAGTGAGCGGGCCGCACGCCGCGCCGCGCGGGCCTGTGTGGTGCGGCGGGCCGGGCCGGGCCGGGCCTCCGTGCGCCGGAGGGAGGACTCGACGGTGGGAGGAGAGTCCGCGGAGGGGGCGAGCCCCGGATCTGGAGGAGTCGGCCGCCGATCTGATGGCCCAGTGGCGCCGCCACGCCCGGCGCCCGGCCGCCAGAGGGCGGGGCGCGCGAGCGGACCCGTTTTGCGAGCTTCCCCGCCGTGCATGCGGACGGCATGGCAGCCCACGTGTGATCGGCTTGGTGCTATGTGGACCGGTGATGGCTCACCTGTCGCCTGTTGCGGTGGCTAGCGTATCTCGCATGTGAAAGATTATTTTCGCCGTTGGCACGGTGGTTTTTTGTACGGTCATTTTCGCTGCGTTCCGCTTTGTGATTGGAATATCCTTCTATGTGGCGGTCCGCCTAGCCTGCCGCGGTCGGGTTGTCTCTGTTCGTCTCGGTCAGAGCCGGAGAAATAGCGATTGTTGATGAACCTCGCCGCGTCGCACTGTATTCAGCCAAGCGATGGGGTTGTTTCTTTGTCACTTGTGCAATTGGGCAACTAGTTAGGTTCTCCACGGCCATATTGGAATTTCACCTGCAAATGTTATATTGATTTTCGTCTATTGACGGCAGCGAACCTTGCCGACCTCTGTCAGCATCATGCCCTTAGTTAAATCGCATGGGTAAGGTTGCGCAACTGATTAGGAAAGAACTTCCCCTACAGCCTGTGCAGTGTACGGGGGAAGCGCGTGTGCTGGCCGTGCTTGCTGGGAGCGGCGCGGCGGTCTGTGGACCACAGGTGTTACGAAACTGAACGGGGTGACCAATGATCCCCGGAGTGTTCAGCGTTCCTGAACTGCACGTGGACCAACCAGCCGTGGATGGAGTTGCGTGTTTGCCTCAGCCGGATGATTCATTAGTTTCGCACGCTCGGC